CCTGATAGCTGTTTTTGAGATAAGGAAGTTCTACATTGTTTAGTCACTTTATAAATCTCTTTTGATTTCTGGGCATTTTAGAGAACTGGATGTGCCTTTTGGTTTGTTTGTCCATAACTTAATTACACGCTGGGTCACTATGATAGATACAATCTTCGGGACATTTACTTTTGGAGTGCTAGGGCCTGACTGTTAAAATGTTTACAGATAGAAGAGACACAGAAAGGGCAGGTGGAAAGGACGGTGTCCGGCCTCACAGAGGAACGCTGATGAACCTGGTGGAAGTTGAGACAAGGAAGCCAGTCAGGAAAAGACACACGATGCCAACTGCAAGGTGCCTGCTGTCAACATCAGGAAGACAGAGAGCAGCGGGGAAGGTGCCAGCAGGGAGGAGTGGGCAGGTCCTGCTGGACACATCTCAGAGCTTTTGCCCTTGCAGGACGAAAGGTTTTCAGGGTTCACCTGCAGCAACATGCCGAGGGAGCTATTGAAGTGAACACTGAAAGACAAGGATGATGCCCAGCCTGGAGCCCAAGATCATCATCTTAGCACCGGGGAGGTAGAGTTTGAGGCCAGCCTTGGATATTTTGCTTCTGCCACACTTTTAAAAGATTTAAAGCACAGCACTAAAAGCCTGAGTGATGACTCCACGGTGTTGTCATTATGACTGCCATGGAAAGAATTCTTAAGTGTGATGAACCTGATGTTCATCTTTTTAAATAATTTTTTTTAACTCGTGATGGAGTTATGGAAACAGGCCACTTGTTTTAATTTTGTGATTATTTTTACTTCCTGATTCCTGCCTGATTATGCAATTCTGGGGGTTACAAATGGAAAAAAAAAAGAGGAAAAGTTTGTGTGCTAGCTTGTTATTTTCATTGTATTGCACTAAAGAGGAATGAAAAATGTCTTCATTCACATCAAGATTAAAAAAATTTATGTGTGCCTGTGCCTGCGTGAGGTTATATGCATCATGTGTGTGCAGGTGTCCCTGGAGGTCAAAGGCCGGCCATACGATGCCCTGGAACTGGAGTTCCAGGCAGCAGTGAGCCACCTGATGTGGCTTCTGGGAACTGGACTCAGATCTTCTACAAGAGCCATGTCTCCAGCTCCCACATCAAGATAATTTTTTAATGTAATCTGGCTGGCCTTCCATAGGCAGGACCAGGGCAGGACCAGAAGCTGAGGTGATCCTCCTGCCTCAGCTTCCCAGCTTCTGGGATTATAGCTGAGTACCACTATACTCAGGTCTGTGTGATGTTTCCACCAAAAAAAAAAAAAAAAAAAAAAAAAAAAATTTTAAAAGCTAGGTAAGATAGCTTCTTTTAATCAGAGAGGAGACTCTTAGACTTCAGATGTATTATCTGAACTGTCCTTTTTTACTTTTACAATTTATTGTTTTTTATTTTATGTACATTGGTGTTTTGCCTGCCTATGTGTCTGTGTGAGGATGTTGGATCCACTGGAACTGGAGTTATAAACAGTTGTGAGCCACCATGTGGTTGCTGGGAATTGAACCCAGGTCCTCTGGAAGAACAGCCAGTGCTTTTAACCTCTGAGCCATCTCTCCAGCCCCTGAACTGCTCTTATATATACTTTCCTCTTTCACTAAACCTAAAAGGTCACAGAATCCATCTTGAGTAACACACAAAATCTTGGCGAGATTACAAAAAAAAGGTCACGTTGACTCCAAAATGTGACCATTTCCCCAAAGTATTTGATTCACCGTAAATGTAAAAGGACAGGTATTCATGAGACACAGGGCAGAAGGTGAACTCTGGGAACAGCCACTCACTGTCTTATACACACACCATGTGACTTCTGAGTTAGCATTTTTCCCTTTGAACAATAACCAAGTACACATGGCTGAGTGTCTTAGAGACACAGTAACATCCATGTTCTGTAAACTTCCTCTAAACCTAGTGGGTGTTAGACTGACATATATTTTGAAGATATTTTATTTTTAGCTGTGTGTATGTTCATATGTCTGCAAGTGCATGTGTGTGCAGGTGCCTGCAGAGGCCAGATGAGGGCATAGGCTCTTTCAGTGCTGGAGTTATAGAAAGTTGTGAGCCAAACTTGGTTCCTGTGCAAGAGCAATATGTGCTCTTAACCACTGAGCCATCTCTCCAACCCCAGACTTACATACACTTGGATACTAAGAGCCAGTGACTAAGAGTTCAAAGTTCACAGGACTCACTGTCACAACGGTCTCAACCTGTGTGTGTGTAGGGAACCGAATGACCCTTTCACAGGGGTCACCTAAGATCATCAGAAAACATATATTTACATTGTAATTCATAACAATAGCAAAATTATAGTTATCAAGTAGCAATGAAGTAAGTTTATGGTGGGGGGGGTCACCCCAACATGAAAACCTGTATCAAAGGGTTGAGGTGTTAGGTGCAGCGTTAGGAAGGCTGAGGACAACTGATCTATCAACTTTTACCACAATGACAATCACGGTCTCTTCAAATTGTTTTCTGGTAAATTTTGTGATAAGACCACTGGCTGCCTCTATCTGTGAGAGCAGGTAGATATGTGTTTTCACATAGGATGTAAACTTCCTGTAAAGATCAGGGGTTGACTGGGCTGGGGATGTAGCTCAGTTGACAGAGTGTTTACCTAGTATGCATGAAGCCCTGAGTCGAATCCCTAATACCATGTGAACCAGGCATGGTGACGCATACCTGCAATCTAAGCACCTGGGAGGCAGAGGCAAGAGGAGTAGCTCAAGGCCACAGTGGGTTCAAAGCTATATGAGAGTACCCCACCTACCTGAAAAAAAAAAAAAAGACTAGATATGACTTTTGGGGTTTTTTGTTTGTTTATTTCTGTGCAGTTCTGGCTGTCTTGGAACTCTCTCTTTAGACCAGGCTGGCCGCCAATTCACAGAGATCTGCCTGTCTCTGCCTCCCTAGTGCTGGGACTAAAGGCTTTTTGTGTGCCACTGCCGCCCAGTCCTAGAGATGATTATTTTTAATTATAAAACTACCTTACATTTATTTTCCATCAGGCTAGCCAAGAAACTTCTTGTTAGGGAATGGTACACAGTAAGACCTCAGTGACTAGGGCAGGAGTAGGAACTGCATTCAGGTATGCAAGAATAATTAGACAGTTTGCTTGGACAGGGAATCTACCAGCATCAAACACCTCCCTGATTTAATCCTGTCAGTAACTCTTTGGTCATAGAAAGAAACAATGAAGTGATTTGCTCAAGAAAGCTGTGTCCTTTCATTTTACCAGTATTTACTGACTGCCTGTGCAGGCTCCGGGACTCAATTCTGCTTTTTATGTGCTTATAATTCAAGAGGAGGGTCAGATGAGGAGACGTGCAGTCACCACACAGGACAGGACTTGGAATGGCTGACTTCACTTTCACCTGTTGATTGTTCCCTCGGTTACACCACAACTGTATGACCCAGTCCTGGCTCGCTCATCTACTGTTCTGCACATCTGTGTGTGTGTACAATGACTGAATATGTTAGTCACAAAAGGACAACACCTAACGATGTAATGAGGTACAGCCTCTTTGTCTTCCATGTACCCACAGGTCCCAGCTCCACCCACTCTAGGGACCTACTGACTCTAGGAAATCTCATCCAGTTTGAGACCTGGGAGTGAAGGACAGTGTCAGGAAAGAATGTTAATGCTTTTTCCACAGCTGATCTCAAAAGCTTGGCAGAGGGAGCTGAGCCCATTGAATATTTATATCGTGCCCTGATTAAAAGAGCTCACCGAGTAACTCAGTTCCAATCTTTTGTCTCCCTTTGGTGCTTGGGATCAAATTTAGGGCCTCACATTTGCTAAGCAGGTGTTACCACTAGCAGCTACACTCTCAGCCTCTTAGCTTTATTATAAAGAACACGTTACTTAGAAAAACAGTACCTCTACCTACTTTCTTTATTTATTAAATATAAATTTCCTAGAGAGAATACTGTGAGCAAAGCTGCAGGTAATGACAATCTCTGAGTGAGATTATATAGGTGATTTGTTTATTTGGTTGAGACGGGGTCTCACTGTAAAGCCCTGGCTGGCCTGAAACTCACTGTGTAGACGAGGATGGCATCTAGTTCTTGAGAGCTGGGACTGAAGGCATGCGCTATCGAACTTGGCTAATTACAAGTTCTGTAAACTTATGAAAACTACAGAGACACTGTAGCATTAACACACCTTGCCAAGGCAAGCTGACAGCAAATGAGGCAAATGTTGGCCTTAGTTGATGGAAATGAAAATTGGTTGGTACCAGTTTCCGAGCAGCAACCTGGCCTTATTTACTTGTTTGTTTATTTATTTATTTATTTATTTATTTATTTGAGACAGAATGCTCCTTTCAAAATATTCTCATTAGTTCTTTGAGGATTGTGCACCTGTTTTGATCACACTACCCCTTCCCCCACTCCATCCAGACCTATCACCACGTCCCTATCTATCCAAGCAGTGCTCCTGAGCCTCTCATTGGTCCATTGGCCTCACCTGTTGATTATAGGCATTTACCGCCATGCTCAGCTTCTGTCAGAATTGAATTGATTTTAACATATTAGTGTGTGTAGACATAGGGGCTGCGACACCACTGTGGCAGTTAGAGGACAAATCTGAAGAGTCAGTTCTCTCCTACACTGTTCTGGTGATCCAACTCAGGCTGTTGGGCTTGCACGGCAAACCTTCCAGCACTCAGCCATGTTGCTGCCCAGGTTATTTATTTATTTATTTTTCAAGACAGGGTTTCTCTGTAGCTTTGGGGCCTGTCCTGGGACTCACTCTGTAGACCAGGCTGGTCTCGAACTCACAGAGATCCTTCTGTCTCTGCCTCCAGAATAGAGGAATAAAAGGCATGCGCCACCATAGTTGGCCTATGGCCCTCCTATCTGGACTTTGTTACACAGAACATGCATTTTAAAGTTTTATTCACCTCACAGGACTCACCCTTGAAATTGGTGTTATTGTGCACACGTTGTGGTCTTCAGCACACCCAGAGCAGCATAGGCATCCTCAGTGAGTTTGTTCATTTTGGGTGTTGGTTTATTGTCTTTGAGACATGATCTTGCCACATAGCCCATGCTGGCCTCAAACCGCTAGCCCTTCTGTCTCAGTCTCCCCAGCACCGGACTTGACAGGTGTAGACCACCATATATGGCTTCTGTGGTTTTAAAAATAGAAAACATGAATGAGAGATGTAACTGTAACAAGCTGTATACATGGGAGAAGACTGGGGAAGTCTGAATAAGAATCATCTGATACACATGAACAGGGAGGAAAACTACAAGAATAAAATCACCACCACTAAGAACAAAAGATGTCCTGGCCAGATCGCCCCACAAGCATGATGACCGAGTCTGGCCTGTAGCATTCATGTAAATAGCAGGGCACTGTGATGCACACTTGTAATGTCAGTACCGGGGGAGTTGGAGGCAGATCCTTGGGGCTTGCTGGCCGACCAGCCTAGCCTCAAAGTAGGGAGTTGAAGGTCTCATCAAGAAACCTCTATCTCAATAAATAAGGTAGATGGTACCCGACGAGACATCCAAGGTTGACTCCTGGCCTCAACAGGAGCACACAGGAGTGGGTGCACCCAACAGACATGTGACCACATCTGTACCCCCATACAATTAAAGAAAAAAGATGGAAAGGGCAAGAAAAAATCAGATTTTTAGATGAAGAAGCTACGTCTGCCTCCTTAAATAAACAAATATGGACTTTTTATCAAAAGATTGAGATAAGATATACAGGCAGGATGAGAAAAGAAACTTTTGGGCTGTAGAAACAGCTCAGTGGTTAAGAGCAGTGCCAGTCTTCCAGAAGCCCTGGCTCTGGTTCCCAGCATCCAGTAGTGGCTGACAACCATTTGACACCTTCTTCTTACCTCTGAAGGCAACACACACACACACACACACACACACACACACACACACACCATGCACACGATGCACACACATGCAAGCAAAACACCCATACACATAAAACAAATCTAAAAGAAAGCTTTAGAAACCACTGATTAGGTAAGGCTTTGAATGTTTCGGTAAATCAGATTCTCCATCAATCTGCAGACTATAGGGTGGGTTTGGTCTCTGGAAGCCACATATTAAGAATTTAGAGATACACACTAAGCCCTGGTTTCTGGAAATCTCCCATCAGGAGAAGGGTGACAGAGAGGTGCTTGTTCTCAGGCAACAAGTACTTGAAGGATACTGAGAACACCTACCTGACCAAGAGAATCTGAAAACAGAAGGAGAGCTGGAGAAAAGGGTTCTTGACACAAACAAACATCATAAGCACAAACCACCCAGGGCTGTTCCAAGTCTAAGGCTTAAAGTTCTGTGGTTTTGTTTATTCCATTGCTGGGGACTGAACCCAGGACCTTGCCCATGCAGAAACAGCACCCGCCTGTGAGCTATATTCTCAGCCCTGTGCATGTTTTTTTTAGAAAGAGGACGAGAAGGACTGGAAATGTGGCTCAAACTGTAGAGCACTTTGCATAAGCAGGTGTGAGGCCCTGGGTTCAGTGAGAAAATACATTTTTTTTTTTTTTTTTTTTTGAAAACCATGTTTTCTGAAAACATTTGGCAAATTCATTTTCTTAAAATAAAATTTTGCCCTTCCTCTGAGGGCATTCTCCTTAGGAAAATTTTCCTTTAAGCACTCCAGATCTTGGGAACATTTTGGAGAGCATCTCTTTATTTTCTTTTCCATATCACGAAAATCACAGTTCAAAAGTTATGCAACTGGAGGATTCTCTCGAATCAGGAAAAGCAAACTTCACTGCTTGCCCTGTACAAATCAATCAGCGCAGGCACCACCAGCTCTTATTTGCTTAATCGGGTCAGTGTAGAAACTTCAGCAACTGCCCTGGTTCAACATCAATACAATAATGGAAATATAAACAGGGTAGCCACCATGCAGAGCCCATTTTTATAAAGGAGTAAAGGATTAAAGACATTTTTTCGGCTTTTGAGTTAGGAAATTACAAAGTAATGTTGGTGTAACCATCTGTAATAATTAAACATTTTGGATGAGCCCGTCATCAGACGGGAAGCATCATCTTTAAAAGTATCTTAGGTATGAGTTTTGTGTTGACTTTATATCCGGTCGAGATCATTTACCTTGTGGCTAACAATTGACGCAAAGCTTGATTCCAAAGCAAACAACAAGGAATTCTTGAGCCTAAGCTATCCTTAAAGTATTATAATATGGCGTCTTTATTTCCACGTGTGGTAAGGGTGTGCACAGCATCTTAGTGGAAATTAATTCACTGTGTGTGCTGGAGACAGTTGCTCCCAACATAACCACCCCTGTAAATGCTCTGGTTGCCTGTAACACATTAGGAAACCATATGAAAATAAAAGATGACACTACCCCTGGTGATATGCTAAGTAGGATAAAACAATAATCAAACTGTAATTCTTATTTGCTTAAAAGTAAATATACCTCATCATGTAGATAGGAAGCTATCTACATCACGCACTAAAACCATGATGGGGGGCTGGAGAGATGGCTCCATGGCTAAGAGCATTTACTGATCTTCTAGTGGACCTGGGTTCAGTTCCCAGAACCCACACAGAGGTTTACAAATCCCCAGTACCAGGAGATCCAACAATCTCATCTGACCATTTTAGGCACCAGGCACAAATGTGGTACACAGACATACATGCAGGCAAAACACATAAATAAATCTAAAAGAAAATTTAAAAGCCATGACAACAAACTAAAAATGGAATTGCCTTCAAAATATGCAAAACAGCACCTGAAAGGGTGTCACCATAATGACAGCATAAACCATGCACCTCCACGGGCTAACTGCAGATACAGCTGGAAGCTAACTTTGGCATTCAAGCTGGAGGCTGGACCAGTAGGACTTCTACTGTCATCTGTGACAGGTGGCACTAACCTTCGAAGGGGACGTTAGTGCTTTCAAAATCTTTGAGACCTTTATATCAAGCTGCAATGAACTCTGGCTTCAAACCAAAATTTGAATGCCAGAAAGCAAAGGCAAAGGGTTAAGGCTGGCTGTTTTTTTTTTTTTTATTTCTTAGAAGCTAAAATATTTTTTAAAAAACCAAGGACAGCTCAATTTAGATTACAAAAAGTCGCTCTGATGAAAAGCAAATGTGCTCCCGTCTGTATTTTGCAGTAGATGTTAGGAAGCTAATATAGAGTTTGTGGCTAAATATAACCCTCCTTTAAAGACAGAACATGTTGCTGGGGGGGGGGATGTCCCCCATCTCGGGAATTGTGGCACACAGTACCTAAAATGTTTTTCCATTCAGTGACTTTGCAGTGTTGGGGACTATCGTTCAGCAGACCCAGGGAGAAGTCCTAAATTGGAAAAGCAGCTGGGCCCAAGGTCATCTCTCTTGTTTCCAAATATATCTTGAAACAAATGTAAGAAGGGCACTTTGCTGAGTGTTATCTGGACATATATAGTTTCAATCAAATTCTGCAAGAAGTGTCAGAATAAAAGCTTAACATTTGTTTGACATGGCCAAGTTCCTGGCAAGTGGTCTTCTTGATGGCTGAGGCTCTCCCTGGCAACTCGGTGACTGTTCCAATGAAAACGTTCCTGACTCTCAAGGGAAAGAAACAAAGCACTGTGAAACACCAGCTTAGATTTAAAAAAAAAAAAAAAAAAACAGGAAATCATATAAACTTATAAAAATCTTTCCCAACTAAAATATCCCTTTAAGACATTCTGTTTCTCAGCTAAATTCTTTAGAACTATCAAATCTTTTTTTCTCACAAATCCAAAACTGTTTACACACACACACACACACACACACACACACACACACACACAGTATAGATGATACCTCCCTTAAAAGCTGGATCCTTGTCTGGGTGTGAAAATATTCAATATAATAAATTAACTGGCTGACTGTCTAGTGCTCCTTCCCACCCCCAGTTAAGCCCACAGATGATCATGTGTTCTTCTCTCCATAGGGGACCTCTCATTTCATCAACAGTCCACAAGGAAGCTGGACAGTGTGGAGAACCAAGATCATTAGATGCTGACAACTGCTCATGGCCCTAGCAGCTTAGAGCATTCACAAGCTGCCCCTCCCTCATCCCCAAGGGGCACTGGCTTGGGCCCCAGGGCATTCTCTTCTGGAGGTTTCAGGCCCCCCATGGAGCCCCTGCTCTACTCCAAGCCAGATTCTGTACATACTTCCAGGAGAGGCAGAAACAAGGCAGAGTGGGCTTGCTCTTCATTGTGCTGGCCTAGATCACTCAGCCCAAAGGGCTCACTTCCTTTTCAATTCTGAATTGGTCCCCTAAGAGATCTTAAACCCCTAAAGGATTGCAGCACCCTGCACACAGCATAAAGGAAATTATCTAAGTCATAAAACACGTGTCTAGAAGTCCAATAGAATTCTGCTCTTGGCAATAAACTTTGGTATCTAGAAATACTGAAACTTTGAGAAAACCCGAGGATAGTTCTTATTGGCTAAGCAAGTACTAAAACCACTTCTGTTGTTGGTTATGCTGCTCATGCTGATTAAGACTTCACGCTTCTCCTGTCTCTGCAGCTTCACCAGGCCAGCGAGCACCCAGGAGATGAGAAAGAGGAAATCAGTTCTCATCGAGCTGGAGTTCCAGGGAGTTGGGAGCCACCGTGTGGGTGCTGGGAACCCTACCCAGGTCCTCTGCAAGAGCAGCCAGTGCTCTGAAGCACTGAGCCCTCACATGTTTTTTTATCTTCCATTTTTCTCTGTGACTTGTCCTAACCTGTCCTTACAAAACTAGATATGTCTCACCTCTCCTTAAATCATTCCTCAACCCACTTCAAAATAACTGCATGTATAATATTACTTTCTATATAATATTTGAGTCTATGAGTTTTGAAAATTCTGTTTATTGTGTAGATGTGTGTGGTCAGAGGACAATTTTCATTTCCATATGGATTTCAAGAGTCAACTCAGATTGCCAGACTTGGTGGCACACGCCTTTGCCCGCTAAGTCGCCTTGCCCATCTTAGCTCATGATGACCACGACAGTTCAGAGAAAGACACCAGCTTGTTTACAAATAAATACCCTGTGTATACAATGGGTCACACACTGAGGCAGCAGTTTAGAGCACAGGATTTGGACACTGGCCGTCTATAAGCAGGGATAACTGTCCTACTTCACTGAGAATCACTTTGGTTCCCACAAAGAAGCTTCTAGACTCTGCCTGGCATATACCGGGCACTCATTAATGGTTCAAGTACTTTCTTCTTTATCATCATGATTGCAGGGCTTTAAGATATAAAATCTGCTAATCTGTTTAATTCATGTTTTAACGAAGTCCACTTTCTGACACAGTAAAGTGCCTGAGCTCTTTAAGGAAGGGGCAGGTTCCCTGGTGAGGAGTGTGCAGCACTGCGGCTACTCTACAGAGAGTTAGGAAGCAATCCGCTGCAAGGGCAGAGTAAACGGACTCTGCACTGGCTGGCAGGACTCCCTCAGAGGTCCTAACAGAGGACGACATGAGTCATTCTCAGGCTCCTTGGAAGTGCCAGAGCCTGAACTCTGCTGTTTTCTATGTCCTATACCAAGTGCAGCCTAGGAGCTCCTCACAGGGACCAAGCCTTATATCCTCAACTGAAGTGGAGACTCAGGACCTCACTGGGAAAGAAAACTCTCATTTCTCCCTGGGTTCTTAATAGTGAATCTCCATAACAGTCACTAGCTCAGTGACGCAAGGCTCTCTGGTTCTAGAAAGGAAATTGTGAAATTACCAGTGACCAAGAGAGTACTTCCAGTTTGCCAAGAGGGGGAGCATGGGAGCATAAAGCACGTGTTTGTCCAGGCCTCTCAAAAACTACTTATTTGGACTCTTGGTTTTATTTTTTTATTTCTTTTGTAAGCCTTGGGTAAGAATAAACCATATTCTTACACAACGAACCTGTCTCTTTTTTTTTTTTTTTTTAAGACTGTTTTAAGACCGAAGAGTCAGACATCACAACACACAGATCACCTCTAATGATCCTTTTCTACCCTCCCCAGACAAAACACTCACCTCATGCCTGGCTGCCATAGCAAACAGCTCTAATTAGACCGCCCTCATTTAGAGGAAAGGGAGGGAGGTAGAGAGGTAATTACGCCTGTGACAAAGGCGCAGATCTATCCCTTTTCTGGCTGCTGTAGACTGTCTGGAAGACGGTGTGGTCCATATGTTCCAGACCTGCCTCACCACAACATGGCCAATCTGTGGGCAAGCAAGCTCAGGGCAGGCTAATCAGCAGGTGCCCATTACCTGCTCCCGGAGGCAAACTCCTGCCTGCCAAGCAAGAGGCATGATGTAAGCGCCTAGAAGTCTTTGTAGAAACAAACCTTTTATTCACACTCATCAGGCACCAGTGTTGGGCGAGTACCTATGTAAGATGAGGGCTGTCTGAGACACACACCTCCACAGTTATTTTTCAATATAAACTTTGCCTCTGTAAAAAGACAGCTTTGTCTGTGTAACTCATGATGCATTTTTTCTTTTCAAATTCAAATCCAAAGAATCCTGCCAATTTACACATTTTTTAGTTGGGGTGCATACATAGCCTCTTATTTAAAAAAAAAATGCTTGGTATCATTTTAGCATTAAAAACTTAAACACATTTGGAAAGTGCACAGAGCTTAAAATTTTCCCAAAGATGAATAAATGCCATGCATGCTAAGAATTCGGCAGAATGACAAACATCAAATAAAGGCAAATGTGATTCAGTGACTTCTTTTAGAAGTGCTGCCTGCTGAGTTAAAGCAGCACAGCAGGAAGCATCAGCCTAGAGGGAAAGCTAGAGGGTTACCAGCCTCTGGTTTGATTTCTTGTCACTTCCAAGTGTTCTAAGGTCCTCCAGCTACTCCCGGGCTCTGGAAAATGTGACCTTGAGTTCAGCTGATTGTAATGGGAAGTATACCCTACTCTAGTCTTCATAAAGGGCAACCTTCACAGGGTTATTTCCTGAACCAACAGTATGCCAGAGGGAGCTGCAGTTGACGGTCAGCCCTCACAACAGCTGGCCACACCAGCCCCAGAGAAGGAAATCTGACTGCCGAGGCAGATTCACAGGCTACATTTTTCTCCTTTATTTGGGTCATCACGTGAAAGACACATTTTCTAAAATGATTAAGTACTCTCATCAATTAGCCAGTTAGAATATTAGCCTTAGAGGAAAAAATGGAGCAAGCTCTTCTTTACTAAGTGCCAGCTGTCAAAAACTGTCAGGATTAGTCAAAGCTTGTTAATGTTCCAATCAAATCATGGACGAATAGAAGGAAGTCTGCATGAAACCCATTAAGCCGAATTACTAAGTGTCCAATGTTACATAAAAGCTATAAATAACTTGTTCTTTTAGATTTTTTTCGATTTGCTTTTCTTGAAGTAATAATGATGTTCTGCTTCAATTAATACAGCAATTTCAGAGCTGCCTTTGTGTGTAATCTGCACACTTGTTCCATGAAGAGGAAAGATGGCAGGTGATCAATCAGAACCCTGAGCAGGCCTGTGGGCTGCCGTTCACAATCCCGAAACTAAGAGAACCAGAGGAGTGAGTGTAGGGCTAAAATAGACTAGCCTCCAGGTCTAATAATCTTGTGAGATTATCTCTGGGGAATAAAATTCGGTTTCAGTAAAAGTCATCTAGTCTTTCAAGTATTTGTTCCAGAATTCACAAGCTGGCTAGTGAAGCATTATATACTACTGAAAACACACCAAGCCTACAGCTGATCTGGCATAAACACAATTTACCTCAGTGTCCAAAAATGATTACTGAATTAAGAAGGGTCTCTTTCCACACACTTAAAACACAGCCTTGCCTCTTTTAGCCTCTGATCTGTCAAAGGAACGAGTAAGAATGCTGGCAGCTGACACCTACCCAGGTGAGAGGGTGAACACACCAAGGATCCGACTCAACCATGTACACCAGAGTGCTCATCCTCTTCCTCCTTCCTCTTCAGAGAGAGAGAGAGAGAGAAAGAGAGAGAGAGAGAGAGGGGCATGTGCACACTTGTGTGTGAATGCATTCCAGTGTGGAGCCACCTGTAGAGCCGAGGCTCACACTGAAATTCTGATTACTAATAAGCCTTCAATATTAAGAGCAGATCAAACTTGGGACAAAGAGAAGCAAGTCTGTATATTTTACACAACACGAATTTTCATTTTTTTTTTAAAGGCAGTTAAAAAGAACTAGCCTACAAAGGACTACCTGAGTTTTCAAATCTAAAGGCAAGAATTTTGAAAAACAGATTGAAACTAAAATGAAGTAAAAGAGAACATACGAGTTTAATATCTTTCTTTAAGGAAAACCAAAGAAATCGTTAAGTATCTAAGCCAAATGAAGCAGAGGCTGGAAGTACTTTGGATTCCTGAATTTCGCTAGGAATCCCCTGTTAATTTTCCAACCCATGTAACATCTACATTTTATGACAGTTTTTATATTTATAATAACAGCCCTCAGGACAATCATATGATTGTATTATTAGCTCTCCTTTCGATGCTTGGTGAAAATGGATAATAACCCTGTGAAATGAGAAGTGGATATTATAAACACTTTTAAAAGAAAAAATGGACACAACTATATTATTTAAGATCAATAGTCACGACATGTACCAAGCTTTATTTTCTTTTAAGTCACATGAGGAGAACAAATGCTTTTCAAAATATTAAACTGGTTTACATTTACAGAAGAGAAAGAAACTGAAGTAACTGTAGGGACTGCTGACTTCAGACAAGGGTTTCTTCAAAACAAGAGATACTAGTTCCTAAAAGAGTCCTCTAAAGTCAGAAAAAAGATTGAGAAAAACATTAATCCACTGTTATTACAACTTTAAAAACTACATGGTTCTTAATGGACACATGTTTACATTACAGATAGCAAGCTCAGTCCCTTTCCCATAACTCAGGACAACCACTCGACGGCTAAACTAAACAATGCAAGCCTCTTCTTCATGTTAAAAAAGACCTTTAAACATGATCTGCCTTCACTTCATTTTCCAAGACAACTTTAGGAGGGACGAGTCTGAAAGCGAAAGGATGCACAATCCCTTCCGAGAAGGAAGCACCTTGGGCTGGTGATGCACTCACAGCCAGCGGCATCTAAAGCCCAGCCGCCACCAACACGGGGCTCAGAGCACCAGCCGGTCCTCTCCGCCCTCCTGAATTACCTGACCGATGCAAGCCTGGCTTTGCTGCTTTAGAAAGCATTGCTTCTTACACTCCATCAGCTGCTCGAGATCTCGCCACATCTTTGCTTGCTTCATATTTGGACCATGACTTTCTCGTACAGCCTTTTGCTTTTCCCGGAGTTTCTATCATTGAAAACAAAAACAGTAATAGTTAGTTAAAGAGGTTTACTTCTGTCATCATGAGGCAAAGGATGTTTTGTGCATTTCATGAGTGATAATGAAGCAACTATGTTCTCCACTGAACATTTACACTAAGAATATCTAAAAGTTAACTAAATTTATGGTACATGTAGTCAAAAAAGATCAGTAAAGGGAGTTGGAGAGATGTCTCAGCAGTTAAGAACACTTGTTACTCTAGCAGAAGACTCATGTTTGATTCCCAGAACCTATATGGTGGCTTACAACCATCTAGAACTGCAGTCCAGGGGCTCTGATGAATGCATGTAGCACACTTACATACATGTAGGCAACAGTCACACATAAACAAAAATATTGCTTCTCAGTCCTTTGGCTAAGATCAATTGTAAAATCAAAAAAAATCATGAGAAAAACAAAGGAAGGGAGGGGAAGGGGGAGGAAGGGAGGGGAAGGAGAAGGGAAGAAACAAAAGGAACCACGGAAGCAGTCTGGTCTGAGTGCACAGAATGCCAAATCAAAGGACCTGGGGGTTCAGCTGTGGCTTTGTCACCAGTTTTAAGCAAGGTTCCAGGGACCTCAGTTTTCTCAGTTGCCAACTGTAGTGAATAATAGGGAACAATAAAATTATGAGCCTTATACTCTTCTTTCTTTATGTGATAACAGATGGAAATACTTGAAAACCTATATTGTGTTGTATATGTTATCATCATTAGATGCTATATTCCACCCTGAAATCATGTCCTTTCTACGAAAGTTCAAATTATCAAACCACATGCATATCTTCTTCAGAGACTTCAGTGATAAAAAAAAGGTGTTTGCCATTTAATAAGCCAAAATCCTTATTAAATTTTTTTTTTTGTATAAATAAGACCAGAGGCAGGTGGATCTCTGTGAGTTTGAGGCCAGCATGTTTTACAATTCCAAGACTACCAGTGCTACAAAGAGAAACCCTGTCTCAAAAAACAAACAAACAAAAAAGACTTATTTATTTGTACTTTATATGTATGAGTGTTTTGCTTGTACATTGTACATGTATGGTTCCCATAGAGGCCAGAAGAGGGCATTGGATCCCTTGAAATTAGAGTTACAGATGCGTGTGAGCTGTTATGTGGGTGCTGGGAACTGAACCTAGGTCCTGTGGAAGAGCAGACAGTGCTCTTAACCACTGAGCCATCTCTGTAGCCCCCAGAATTATTTTCTGTAGGTAGTTCCACCTGCTAAATCTGTTTTATTGACTATAATTATAAAGAGAAGTAAAAAATGTTTGCAACTAACTGCAAAAATATACTTTGGGGGCTGGAGAGATGGCTCAGAGGTTAAGAGCACTGCCTGCTGTTCCAGAGGTCCTGAGTTCAATTCCCAGCAACCACATGGTGGTTCACAACCATCTGTAATGAGATCTGGTGCCCTCTTCTGGACTGCAGGCATACATGCAGGCAGAACACTGTATACATCATAAATAAATAAATCTTTAAAATATATACACATATATGCTTTGGTTCTGTAAACCAAGGAAGGCTGACTGAAAATAGTAGCCAGGATGAAGAGACATTGAGAAAGAAGGGGGAAACTGGCAATGTACATATACGGAAAGAGGGCAACAGAAACGCCAACAGACATGGTTGAGAAAATCACCAGGAGGGGGAGAGGCAAGGGAGCCAACAGCACTACCACACAGGAACACACTCATCTTTCCTCTTTTAGGACACAGCTCATCCACCGTGCAGGACAAATGAGAATGCTGGTGGCTGATGCTTGCCCAAATAAGAGGATGAAACCGGATGAAGGCGAGATTTAAACCACTGATTAAATACTGCCCACCCAGTTATGGATACTGAAAGCAAGTATCAGAAAACAGTGAGAGAACACACAGGGGAATTTTCAGATGTAATTGTGAAGTAACCACCCACTTTTTATGTAATACAGAGAGCACAGGATAGCATGTGAAAATTTATGTTGTGAGTAAGTATCTCACTACAGACATGTTTATGTTACCAAGTTAAAAGTATCTGGAAAGACCTTTAAAGTATACTAAGAATTTTAAGAGTTCTGAGAACAACTTTTTCAGATATGGTAAACCTAAAATACAACTTTTCTTATATTACTGAAATAATTTCTTTGCCAAAAATGCTAACAATCTATAAAAATTATTTAAAGAGCCAGGTACCGGTGGTAAGAGTGTCTGCTGCTCAAGCATGAGGCTGTTCTGGATCCCCATCACCTACACCTGTAACCCCATCACCTACACTGGGAGGGGACACAGACAGGAGGACCCCTGGGGCTTGGTGAGGGAGAAGCTCGAATTTGAGTTCAGTGTGAGCCCCTGTCCCAAGGGAACAGGTACAGAGCAATAGAAGAGGGCACTCATGGGTCTCTGGCCTCTGCAAGTGTGTGTACAATGCACACTTGGAAACACTAGCTTTACTCTGGGCTGCCTTGACAATTTAGATCCTCTCTACAGTGAGAATGTGACAATTGTGGGTTATGGGTTAGCCTGCCTCATTCTGCTGAAAAATACTTTACATCCCATTGCTCCTACAGCTTTCCCCAAGATCTTGCTTCAGTAAAACATTACACTGGAAGGAGCAAGAATTTCTTCTTGGTCCTGTAGATTGAAACCAGGCTCTTGTACATTATCAGCACGTATATTATCCCCAGCTTCACCCAGCCCAAGAATAACCCATAAATGATTTAGAAATTAGGCTCGTTAAGGAGATTTAAGGATTCATCAACATTTCCATATACATTAACATTCATCCAGATACTTTTCGTAATTAAAAGACTGTGTGAGTGTGTGTGTGTGTGCTCGTGCACACATGCATTCGTGCAAGAGAGAGAGACACACACAGAGAAACACACATGGGGGGGTTGTTTGCATGTATGTCTGTACCACATGCATGCCTGGTGCCCACAGAGACCAGATGATGACTTTGGAACCCCTGGAACTGGAGGTACAGACAGTTGTGAGCTTTCCAATTTGGGAATTGAATGGGGTTCTCTGGAAGAGCAGTCAGTGCTCTTAGTCACTGAGCCATCTCTCCAGCTCTCCAGGACTTTTCTAAACATGGCATCTTTAGATGAAAGTCTACTGACAATTGTAATAACTTCTAAAAATCTAAACAATCTATTGTTAATGTATTTTACAAATGAATATTAATATGAACTAATTCAAATACATTAATTTATTTTCTCCTCCTTCCCTGCCTCCTTTCTTTTTTTAAAGGTTTTTCAAGACAGGGTTTCTCTGTGTAGCCCTGGCTGTCCTGGAACTTATTCTGGCCTTGAACTCACAGAGATCCACCTGTCTCTGTTTCCTGAGTGCTGGGATTAAAGATGTGTGCCTCTACCACCTGGCTAGTGAACACACACACACACACACACACACACACACACACTCTCTCTCTCTCTCTCTCTCTCTCTCTCTCTCTCTCACTCACACACTCGAGATGTGTTTGGAAGTCAGAGGACCTCTAACAGGAGTCTGTTATCTCCTAGTGCATGAATCCCAAGGAAGAACTCAGGTCACCAGGCTAACCATACTTTAATACTCTGAGCTTATCTCACTGGTCCCTTTAAATTCTTAAGAAAGGAATTAACAACCCCTGAAACTGTAGCCTTCTTAAAGAATGACAATGTTAGAGCTATGTAATAGTCTGAATTAGAAACATTAAAAAATAATTCTTACCTTACCAAGGTTTTCTTGTTCAGTAATATTTTTGGTATACTGCTCCCTAGGGAGTAAACACAATGATTTAACCATAACTTGAATTGACATAAAGACACAACTGAATTATAAATTAGCATATCTATATATATATTTACAGTTTAGGGCAGAATCAGAATGAACCTCATCAGATACTTTGTTTTTCCTCATGTTTAGTCATTTCTTCTATAAACAATAATTTAAAGGGGGGGCAAAGCATTATATGGGAAATTAAGTTAAGAAAATTAAGATGTTAAGTACTATTTTTGGCTAATCTACCCTTAAAACAATGACAACCAATTTGCTTAAATTACACATTGCCTTCTAGAGTCTGCAGAGAGAAGGGGCACACAATAAACAAACACTGAACATTGTCTGATTCTGCAACTCGACTTCCAGGAACTCATGATACAGAATTCCCACGACTTAAGAAACTTTAAGCAGGGCTGGAGAAATGGCTCAGAGGTTAAGAGCAGTGGCTGCTCTTCCAGAGGTCCTGAGTTCAATTCCCAGCAACCACATGGTGGCTCACAACCATCCATTATGAGATCTGGTGCCCTCTTCTTGTGTGCAGATATACATGGAAGCAGAATGTTGCATACATAATAAGTAAATAAAATCTTTAAAAAAGATAATATTTATATATATATTTATGTGTATATGCACATATACATATGTGTACATTTCTCATGCATTCGCCAACACATATACATGCAAATGTATTAGCATTTGTTTTTTATTTTTTAAGGATCTCATGTAGGCCAGTCTGACCTCAAACTTAGTGTATAAACAAGGCTAGCCTTGAATTCCTGACCTTCCTATCTTCACCTCTCAAGTGCTGGTATTTTTTTTTTGGGGGGGGGGGGTGAGATTAAAGGTGTCACCACATACATACACACACTTCTAACAAGGTCCCATTTTTTTCAGACCAGTCCTAAACCCATAATCCTCTAACCTCAGCCTTCGAAGTGCTGAGAGTACAGGTATGTGTCACCATGTTCATCTTAAAGCACTCAGTATCTGTGCATGCTACCCCATAATGATTACTCTTGGTTTTACAAATATTTTATAAGCTAAAAAACTCATTTTAAAGTAAACTATTTAAATGCATTTAAAAATCAAAGCACAGTTATATTTTCATGCTGTGTAAGAAAAAAAAAAGCAAGATTTAAAGCAGGTGACATGTTAAGGTCAAAGACTAAGGAACAGATGGCAAGTGTCCAGACTGGTTTATGCCAACCTGACACTAGCTAGAGTCATGCAGGGAAAGGGACTCTCATTTGTGAAAATGCCTCCATAAGACCAGGCTGGGGGTCATCCTTGAATGCATTTTATTAATCAGTAATCAATGCAAAAGCGCCCTGGTCACTGTGGGTGATGCCACTCCAGGGCTGATGGTCTTGGGTAAAAGAAGCAGGTTGTACAAGCCACGAAGACCAAGCTAGTGAGCAGCACTGCTCATGGTTCTGCTTCAGATCCTGACTCCAAGTTCCTGTCCTACTCGAGTTCCTGTCCTGACTGCTGATATTTATAAGCTGATCTAAACCCTTTCCTCCCCAAAATGATTTTGGGCAATGGTGTTTTATCCAGCAATAGAAACTCTAACTAAATAAGGAATATTGGAAGAGACTTTAGATCTTATAATTGTTTGCTTGTTTACCTGGGGAGAGGGGTGTTTTGAGACAGGGTTTTTCTGTATAATAGATCTGGTTTTGAATTTACAGAGATCCTCCTGCCTCTGCCTCCAGAGTGCTGGGATTAAAGACGTGCACTACCAAGCCTGGCTAGATCTTATATTTAAATGCAAACATTGTTTTTGTGTCTCTGGGCAAACTAAGATTGTACTATTAGAAGAATAAAGCAAGATAAGATGGAGAATCTAAGATGTCATAAACCACAAAAGAGAAAGCCCAGCAGATCAGTAGAGCAACGAGAGACAGGGGAACTGCAGAGAAAGCACTCATGACCCTTGTGGAGAAGCACAGGCGGCATCTTGCACACAGGAACAAGAGTGGAGATAGTCAACAATCCCATAAGCCGTCCTTTGCCCTTAAAAACTCATGAAACACAGCCAGGTGGTGGCACAGGCCTTTAATCCCAGCACTCAGGAGGCTGAGGCAGGTGGATCTCTTGAGTTTGAGACCAGCCTGGTCTACAGAGCGAGTGCCAGACAGCCAGGGGCTACACAGAGAGACTCTGTCTCGAACAAAAAAGTATGGTCATAGCTCAGATGGCTTTAAGAAATTCACTAATTCACTAGTATCTTAGGTCTGAGACTTGTCCAAATTGTTTTAACATTCTCATTTACATAAAAACTTCTCAGGAAACCAACAGGCTTATTATAGTAGCATGCTACCTCCAACCTGGCATGCACAAGGCTCTAGGTTTGTACCTGATACCTTGGAGAGATGGCAGTTGGGGGTGGGGTTAAAAGAAAAACAAACAGGCTATTTCTTAAACCTTTGGGTTAATTAAAAAGAGCCAGAATATTGAAAATGGAATGACAAATTTTTGTCACTATGATAATATTTTTACACATGTATCCATGAGTTTAGATGTAACCAACACCATTTTTCACATTATTCTTCACAATTTTTTTGTTTGTTTTTCTAGACAGGGTTTCTCTGTGGCTTTGGAGGCTGTCCTGGAATTAGCTCTTGTAGACAGGCTGGTCTCGAACTCACAGAGATCCACCTGCCTCTGCCTCCTGAGTGCTGAGACTAAAGGCATGCGCCACAACCCCGGCTCACAATTATTTTTTAATTACAATTTTTGAGTTTGTGTATGTGTATGCACTTGAATATGCATACTTGCATCAGAGGACAATTTTCAGGAGTATGTCCTCATCTTCCACAGTGTGGGCAGGCCCCAGGTGTCTTATTTAAGTTGTCAGACTTGGTTGGCATGCACCTGTGGCCTGAGTCATTTTGCTGCCCCCCCTTTTTAAAAAATAATATTTGAATGTACTGCTATAGTCATGTGTTGTGTTTCTTTTTTAATTGTTGCTGCCTTTTAAGCTACAACTATCCTATTCAGCAATTTCAACTGCGCTGCTAGCAGCAGTGTTGAGGCTGCAAGAGCCAAAGCCTGAGGGAATTCTGTTCCCTCAGGCACCAACTCTTTTAAAGCTACTAAGGAAACTTATTTAAAATCTCTGTCCAGCTAAAGAACTCAAGATTCAAAGCTCACCTCTTTGTGTCTCCCAAGAAGTCATCGTGGGTTTTTTTTTTTTTTTTCTCTCGCCCTTCCTTATAAACCCTTCTCCACCTGGCTCCTCCCTACAACGTCCAGTCAGTTAGTTGCAACCCAAGCTCCTGACCACAGGTGAACTTTATTTAGTCAAACACATCGTTGCATCATTAAACAAATGTTCCAGAGCATAAACAAAAGCAACACACCTTAAAATAATATTCTATAACAGTCATGGCACAATACTTTTCTACAAAACAACTAGGGAATAGAAAGTTTGTAACCAGTGTTTGTAATATGTATGTATGCAGGTGCACTCCTCCGTGTGGGTGGAGTAGAAGTCAAAGGTTGACTTCAGCAATCTTTCTCATGCCTAAAGCAGTCTCTCACAGAACCGAGGGCTTGTGTTCTGTTCTGGATAGACCGGCTGGCCAGTTGAGCCCCATTGGAAATGCTTGCTTCTGACCTCAGTGCTGGGATTATAGGCACTCGCCACCACATCTGTTCTTTATGTGGGCACTGGAAATTCACATTCGGGGTCTCATGCTTGTACAGTGAGCACTTTACTCAGGGAGCCTCCTCCCCGGCTATATGGACTTTGTTTTAAATAAAAACTAATTTACACTTATTTGTTTTGTATGTGTATGTACATTCCAACACCTGTGTGGCACACATGCATGGAGGTCAGAGAACTAGAGAGACTAGATTCTCTTCTTCCCTTTTGTGGGTTTCTTGGGATTGAACCCCCACTAAGCCATCCTGCTGGCCCCACACTGTTTTTTCAGTGAGGAAGTACATCCTGTCAGAAAATGATTGGATGTTTAACAGTTCAGAAGCAATTTTTTCCTTCTTCCTTTTTTATACTGATTACCTTAAAGTAGTGAATTAAATTTCTAAAATGTCTAATTTTCAAGAACAAATTATCTATTCTCATCTCTTACCACTGACAATATAGACTATAAGTGCAAAGTTTACATTCTTTGAAAGAACCTAAATAGGACTTTTATAGTTTAATATGTGAGAGCATGTATTAAAGTCACTCTCTTCATAGGGAACTCTAGTCTGACTTGCCTTCCGGTGCACTACATAGACTCTGCTACAGACTACTTCCTCCTAGGCTCCTTCTTGTAACACCAATGCATTGCAAATCTCAACTAAAGCCTCAGATGTGATCCTTACCCTTTTGTGTTCTTACTGGACAGTAAAAAGAAAACATCTGAACTGTGATGATGGGTGAAGAAGGCTTATCTTCCATTATGGCATTTTATTATAACTTGCAATTTAGCTATAAATGTATTTTAAGGCAAGGGTTGATTCATTACAGTTTGCCACAAGTTGAGACTACAAAAAGTCGCCATTTAAGGACTAAACAGTATTTACACACTGTTCTCATTTTAAAGGCTGGCAATACTGCAGTCACATGATTTCTAGCTAAAAGCCAGTCGTCACACTGCACAATTAGCAGGCAGATGACCAGAGTCCCAGCCACATGTGCTTAAAGAATCAACATTAAAACGTTAATGCGTATGGAGAACAAACATACAAGTGCACACATTCTTGGAGGTGGGACTGGGGTTAACGATTAACGGAATGTGAGAGGCGATGGCTCAGCATTACAAACGTAATCAGTGCCACTAATTCCATGTTTAGAGGTGGCTAAAGTGTAAATTTTATATTTTATATAAACACATATGTTTACTACATGAAAGAAAGCAAGCAAGAAGTACAATTATATGTATTCCTACCCCATTAGGAGGGCTAGGACAGCCTAAGGTTCAGTCTTCAATGGTGGCTTAGCATGTGATAACAGAAATGCCCTGTATCTTTCTATTTTAATGTATAAACCTTGTACAGGTGAAAACAAGGAGTAAATCAGCATCAAAATCAGATGACTTGCCTGATTGCTTTCCTTTTCTCTTGCTGATCGGAGGAGACATAGGCCTTCATCTCATCAGTCGCTCGACGAAGCTGAACTTCCAGGTTCTAAAGGCAAAGGCAGGCTTCAGAAAGTCTTTTCTGTTGGGGGATCTCTGAAGGGGCCTACAAAATGGCTCACGGGTAAAGGCACCTGCTGCAAAGTCTAACAACCTGAGTTCCATGCCCGGGATCGACACAGTCAAAGGAGAGAACCGAGTCCTGAAAGTTATTCTCTGACCTCCACAGATGCACCAGGACACATGGTGTTCATGGACACACACATACAAAATCAATCTATCAACCAATGAAATAATTTTTAGTCAGGTGTGGTAATGCACGCCTTTGATCACAGCCTTTAGGAAGCAGAGGCAGGCAGTTCTCTTTGAATTCGAGGCCAGACTGGTCCGCATAGTGAGCTTCAGGACAGCCAAGACTACATACAGACCCCATCTTGAAAAAAAAAAAAAAACTGACAATTGTAATTTCTTTTCAGGGAGAGGCTTCTGATGCACATTCTTTGCCTTACCTTAATCACACAGTTTGTATAATGGTATCTACTTTCTTCCTGGAGGCATTCTTCACGGAGCCCTCGCACTTCCTACAATACATAATGTTAAGTGGGCAACAATTTATTGGAAGACTAAAAGAGAAGATGCACAACAGAAGAGTGACCATCAGAATCATCTCCCATCACAAGTTCGTCTACAGTAATAGCATAGGTACCACTGGTCCCCAGATGACTCCTAGCACCCTCTAACCTGCAGATGCACTTACTCATTCACTAAGTTCTACTGTGACTAGCACTCTGGTAAGAGCTAGGGACACAGCATTGAGGAAGACAGCTAAAAGGACTCGAGGCACTGAGGGAGTGAGAATGTGCACACATGGATAGCTTTTGCTAAACTGTTGAAGTAAAAACTCCCTTCTTACCTGTTCTAATTTGGACCGATTGCTTTCAAGGCCTGCTGCACAGCTATCATACTGGGCTTTCTTTTCGTCACACTCTTGGGTTAGTTCCTAGTTTGAAAAGGGCAAATGATTAAATGAAAAACAAACGCATAAAATGTGGCTCTGAAACAATGCATGTCCTTGTCGGTCTTGTAACTTAACTCTAAGCTTCTTGGCATACTTACGAGTTATTTATGCAACAATTGGACATTTGAGGATTATGACAGATGGAGGTGCTGATAAGAATAATAGCTACCATGTCCTCCTCTGTGTGCCAGGCTCTTGCTTAGGAGCTGGGGATACAACAGTGAACAAAACAGCATTCCCCTAGTAATACCCGTGCACAGGTTGTAAGAGCTCCAGTGGACCACTACAACCCGGACAGGAGCACAGAGCATGCTCAGAGCTAACCCAGGCTTGGGAACAGTGGGGCTGACTTCCTAGAGAAACTGATATAAACTGAGAATGAGGGATTAGCAAGAATGGTTAGGGGGAGGTAAGCAGGGGAAGGAGATTTTTTTAAAAACAAGCAAACAAACAAAAAGGAACACTGTCTAAAGGGTTGGAAGCAAAGGAGAATACTTCAGGAATGTATGAGTAGTCCATTATCAGGGTGGGTCTTTGTGACTCCTTTTAGGGTACATGACTGGGGCCCTGGACAATAATTACATCTTACAAGAATATCCTGAAAGAGGTACCAACTGACACCTCCACACCATGTTCAGAGAACACTCAGAAAGGCTGGCCCTGGCCTAGACTATAGTGCCATAAAGGATACAGTCAGCATGAACTCAGGATCCTTTAGGAGTATCAAAGTTTAGCCTCCTATTTTGAAGGAGATAATCTAAAAATCTGTTGCAAATGCATGGGGATGCTAATACATGCAAATGCCTGCTAAGGAGGAGCAAATATCTCTTAAAACCCAGAGCTGAACTGAATTGCCAAGGAATTGGAATCATCATGACTAGAAATACGAGACGGACAGTGGGTCTCCTGGGGAAGTGAGTCTGGACAGCACAGGTGGAGTGACATCCACAGGGTACAAGAAACCACTGGGAACATGAGGGTGAGGAGCTGGAACTGAGGGCTCCATCGTAGACCCAAGCTGATCTCAATTTGGGAACTTCCAAAGGGTTAGGGGCTAAAGAATAAGGGTCAAAATGAGCCTGAAAATGACATTGGCTCCACACAGTAGCATTCTTGAAAAGGAGCATTACTGCGGAAGAGTAGTGTTGTATGTGCTGTCCTGTTGTGTGGACTCCACGTGTCTCCGAGTAACTGCAACAGTGTAAAGACTAAGAGAGGAATTGTGGCTTTATGTGTTAAAATGAACCAGGGAGACAGCTCCGTGGGTAACAGCACTTGCTGACAAGCCTGACATCCAAATCCAATCCCTGGGACCCACACTAGTGGGGAAAAACCGAATCCCACAAATTGCCCTCTGACTTCCATGCATGTGTACACACACACACACACACACACACACACACACACACACACACACACACACACAACACCACACCCCACACCCCACAAAATAAATGAATATAACAATCATATGTCCTGAAGTAGGAAAAGGGCAGCCGTTGTGACTGCTTCTCAACAAGATGAACTTGCTACAGTTGAAGATGGAGCCTTCTTTAAAACAAAATGAAACAAACAAAAACCCCCAGGATATTACTATGTAGTTCTGGCTGGTCTAGGAGCTAAACTCACTCTGTAGACCAGTCTGGTCTCAAACTCACAAAGATCTACCTGCCTCTGCCTTTCCAGTGCTGAGATTAAAGGCCTGTGTCACAGTGACTAGCTGATGACAGGTTGGTTTTTTTTGTTTGTTTGTTTTGATCTGTGAATCTGAAATTCAAATCAATCAAGATATAGCTTGGCTGCCTTGGGTGCTTGAACTCAGGCTGACTAGAGGTTTAGATTTCTCCACCTACATGGGCTAAAAACTTGCAAGCTGACATATTAGCACCAAACTGGCTCCTAGCTTATGACAAACCAACACATTAGGCCAAATAAATGAATGACCACTCCCTGCTGCCAGGATTTAAGTGATGAAAAATCCACAGGGATGGTGGCACATGTCTGTAATCCAGGCTTTTAGGAGAGAGCTGCAGAGAGGCATGGCTACCCCTCTATAGCAGCAGCATCTGTAGCCCAAGATGACCTCAATTCCCTTCCACCACACCATCCTATCCCAAGTGCTGTGTTACAGGTGTTTGCCACAGGCCCAGTTTTATGTGCTGCTGGGGATTAAACCTTAGTGCATGCTAGGCAAACACTCTACCACCTGAGCTATATTTCTAATCTCTATATTCTTTCCCCTAAACAATTCTGTGCAGAATGAATATAATTTGGGATTTTGAGGTTTTTTGAGATAGGATCTCATGGAGCCCATGATAGCTTCAAGCTCATTATGTAGCTGTAACCAAGGGTGACCTTGAACCTCTGATCCTTCTAGCTCCACCACATTCAGACTAGTTTTACTTTTATAAGAAAAAAAGCAATCAGTAAAAACTATTTAAAGAAAACTAAATTATCAGATTGTATTCTTCAAACTGATATATTAGCAATTACATGTAATTATTCCATTTATTTACACAGCTACAGAATTGCCTCAAGATGCTGTTCTAGTTAGATGATTATAAAAATTTAGATAAATTGTAAGTTATAAATCTTGAGTTGATGATACTCTTGGCTTTAAAGAGTTGTAATATTCAATTTTAGAATGCATTCTAAGCATAATAGTTAACTGTAAAGTTCCCTAAATACTTGAGAGTAGCCCATTAAAGTTAAATTACTCTTGGTCTCTAAACATAGGACAGAGTCCCCAGGCATGAAGGCACACACCCCCCCCCCAAGACAGGGTTTCTCTGTGGCTTTGGAGGCTGTCCTGGAACTAGCTTTTGTAGACCAGGCTGGTCTCAAATTCACAGAGATCCAACTGCCTCTGCTTCCTGAGTGCTGGGATTAAAGGTGTGTGCTATTCTGGCACACACTTTTAATCCTAGCACTTGGGGACTGAATGAAGCAGATAGACCTCTATGAGTTTAAGGCCAGCCTGCTCTACAGAATGACTTCCAGTCCAGCCAGGACTATACAGTAAGATCATGACTTCAAAAAAATAAACGAAACAAAATAAAAAGGCATGGCTTAAAAGGTTGAGGGATCATCTTAGCTCAAGAGTTCTGGGCAGGGCAAGAGGGATGGCTTGGTGCTTAAGAGCACTGGATGCTCTTCCAGAGAACCTAGGTTCAATTTCCCAGAAACTACAAGGTGGCACACAACTGTCTGTAGCTCTAGTTCCAGGGGATCTGACTCTTTCTTTCTCCCTTCCTTCCTTCCTTCCTTCCTTCCTTCCTTCCTTCCTTCCTTCCTTCCTTCCTTCCTTCCTTCCTCCCTCCCTTCCTTCCTTCCTTCCTTCCTTCCTTCCTTCCTTCCTTCCTTTCTTTAAGATTTTATTTATGTATTATGTATACAGTCTTCTGCCTGCAGGCCAGCAGAGGGTACCAGATCTCATTCAAGGTGGTTGTGAGTCACCATGTGGTTGCTGGGAATTGAACTCAGGACCTCTGAAAGAACAGTCAGTGCTCTTAACCCCTGAGCCATCTCTCCAGCCTGGGGATCTGACACTTTCACACCAATGCAAATAAATAAAGTTAAATATTTAAAAAAAAAAGAGTTCTTGGAAATAGTAAGATCTTCTCCCAAACAACAACAAAATCTTGAATTTAAACAATGGCTTTTAGGAGTTGGGGATGTGGCTCACAAATGCAATGCTTTGCCTACCATGTATGCAATTCTGGATTCCATCGGCAACACCATAAAAGTAAAACAACAACAACCCCCCCAAAAAAATCCCAAAACAAAAACAATGTTGGAAGGTTAGGGCACAGCTCAGAAGTAGGTCAAAGAATGCTTGTCTAGCATATGAAAGGCCCTGGATTCCATCTCTAGCACCGTAAAACACACAAATAAAATTAAGGACAACAGGGAAGTTAGCAGTGAACATTTTTGGTATAACAGGAGTAGAAGGACCATAGTGTGAGATACAGACAATAAGGTAGTGAAGCTGAGGCTACAAAGCATAACTAGCTCCCCACAAAAGGAGGGGAGACCACGAGGTGGAAAAAAGAGATGGTGGTGAAAAGGTTCACAGGTGGCAGAAATAGTGTGTGTGTGTGTGTGTGTGTGTGTGTGTGTGTGTGTGTGTGTGTGTGTGTGTATTCTTTTATACAAGCCAAAAATTAAAGAATTATATAGTGTAATACAGACACTTGCTCTCTGTTTGCCACTATATGATCTTAGGTAAGTTCCTAGTTTCTGCCTGCCTGCCTTCCTCCCTCTCTTCCTTCCTTTCCATAAAGGAAGTCCCTGTCTCTTCGGGTTGTTGAAAGGACAAAGTGAGAAATGTAAGAGTACAAGGTGCACAGCTAATACTTAATAAATAAATATTATCAATATCCAATTTACTATCCTACCCATAAGTCCCCACTGCTAATGTTCCTATAGCTTCTCTGGTTCAAAACCTTCTCAGAGAAGCTGGAGAGATGGCTCAATGGTTGAGAGCACTGGCTGCTCTTCCAGAGGACCTGGATTCAAATCCCAGCACTCACATGACAGCTCACAGCTGTCTGTAGCTCCAGTTCTAAGGAATATGATACCTTCATACCAATGCACATAAAATAAAGTTAAAGGAATTATTTTAAAAAAACTTTAAGAGTCCCTCCAACCTGCTCCACAATATATATAAAGTAATATATACACTATTTGTTCTTTAGATGTGTTTTCTTTTATCTTGCTTGAATTTCTTTATTGGTACCATACCACTTATAGCATAAACCTAGATGGCAGGGACTTTTTCATCTCCTCTGTGATGGTATCAGTGTATAATGAGACATTGAAATAAGACAACTTAGACCAGATATGGTGGCTCATGCCTTTAATCCCAGGACTTGGGAGGGAGAGGCATGTGTATCTCTGTGAATGAGAGGACAGCCCGGTTTACATAGAGAGGTACACAATACTACATAATAGAGATAAAGGCCATGTCTTAAAAAAAAAAAAAAAGAATTTTCAGGCTAGAGTCAGACCCCTACTTTTGTCTCCCATTTGTCTATCTGGATAAACTACTAAGCCTATCTCAGACTGCATGGCATTTTCTATAAAAAGGAAATTATGTCTAACTGATTCCAAAGTCTATGCGATTTTCCACTCTGGGGCTGACTCTGACAGATGGTGTTCACGTAGAACTGGTTTTCTAGTTCCATCCTCAGGCACATGCAAGATGGCTCGCACTCAAACTCACAATTACTACAGAGAATGATGAAGCAGCAACTGCTAATGCCAAATGGTAGAGGCCGCTGGATCCTGCTGTGGCAGCACTTATCTTCTGACAGTTCATCTTTAAATCAGGGGTTAGAATGAGCTTCCAAGTAACGGCACTTGTACTTATCCTACGGTAATCTGCCCCACCATGCCTGCCAGAACAGTAAGCCTACCCTTTTACGGCTGACTTTACTGATGCCGAGCCAGAGAATGGGGTTTAATCTTTACAGCTCTCAAATGCAAATGATTGAAAAGAAAATTCTCATCTGGCTGCATTTTTATATTTCCATTTGAATTCCTACTCCTCCACAACTCTCGTTAATTTATGACAAAGTAAGTAGCACAAATTCAACTAAATCTTTGACATAGCCACTGGCTTATGTCACAGCAACACAGTAACAATAATTTCCTTTCCATTTTCTCCCAAGTAAAACACTTAAGAGCCCACCCCGACCATCTGAGCAAGAAAGAACTAAAACTATCTCAAAGTCAATCTTACCTGACATTTCTGCCGCAACTGCCGGAGCTCTTTTATGACTGGGGCCAGAGCTGACTTCTTTTCTGATACCAGTGAATTCAGTTTTTTTACCTGTCATTTAAAACAAAAAACACGACATGTACAAAAATGAAAAAAGAAAGCTACATACATAAAAATACCATTGCAGTTATAAAGACTAAAAAAAATAAAACCTGTAAATTACTTCACCACAAACAATAGGAAAGGGATTTAGTAAATGTTAATTTCTAATGGGATTTTTTACGGGGGAGGGGTTGGGGGGGCAGGGGACAGGGTCTCATTATGTCAGTCTGGCTGTCTTAGAACTCACTATGTAAACCAGGCTGGCCTTGAACTCACAGAGATCCTTTACCTCCGCCTCCCAAATGCTGAGACTAAAGGTATGGGCCACTACACCTGGCTAGTAGATACTAATTTCTTAGCAAGGTGAAATGCCACTTATTGGTTCCAAATGTCAATTATGATTGCAAACCATTATGAGGACATGTTTGTAACCTAACACTGAATGCATTAAGCAACCACAAAGTGACCTGTACCCTACTATAAATGATACCATCTGTTCAGACATATGCAGCTCAAGAGATCATGTAAAATAACATACAAGTATGCATGGGTATTGTCAATATACTTAATCTGAATGGCTTGACAGAATAGGCATCCTGAAGGTCTCCTCTATACTAAATACTAATCCTTTTTAGGAATTAGATTTGAGCAAAATCCAGGAAGGTCTAGGATAACACCAAGGGTAGTCTTTGAGTTTGGGGCAGCAAATAATGAAAGATTTCAAAATTAGGATGCCTGATGAAAATGTCCTAGTGCATTTGGAGGACAGCAGCCCTGAATGTGGAATACCAAGGACATACACAAAGATGAAATAATTCTAGTACTGATTTTACCATAACTACTTATTTAATGTTATATTAAGATACGAAGTATATACTTAAGTTGAACAATCATATTGCAATGGAAAAATTCAAGAGATAGATTTAAAAAATAGATGAAAGAATGTAGGAAGAGAGTGAGTCCTGAGTGAATGTGTGTTGTTGACGTGAGCCCAGGACCAACGCCTCAGTCCTGAGGGAATGGCAAAGCCTTCCTCTGGTCTTGAGAGTGAAAGTTGACAGCATGTGCAGAACATGTCTACCATAGCTTTCTCTTGTAGCTGTTTACAGTATGAAGACTGCTGCCCTACAGAGACTGCTCCTATTAGCTCAACCTGTCTCCTTGTTCAGCGGTATATAATAAACAGTTAAGCTTGGTGTGGGGGCTGCAGCTGCCCTATCCATGGGCTCAGACTACCTGACCCCAGCTTTTCCATACATGTGTCTGTGTTCTGTCCTTCCTTCATTCCCTTGCTGCCCCAGTTAGATCAATCCCTGGAGACATGCAAGTGTGTGGCAAAAGAATATAAAGTAAACACTGTGTAGAGATTAATATTTAAACGTTTAACTGAAAATTAAACAAAAAACTGCCTTCTAACCATATAAGCTAACAAAACACAAGACAGAAGGTGTCATTACCATTTCAGACATGTCGTCCAGGGTCCGGCCTTTCATTTCATCAACCTCACTCTTGAGGGCAGACACCCTTTCTAGCTCTTCTTGGGTGTAACTGTACCCAGATACACCCTTCTTCTCTTCAATGGTTCGCTGTAAGAAATGGAAAGGCCATCAGTGTTGAAATCTTTTTCCCATAAGAAGTACTTTCTATTTCTGTTGAAAAGTTGTGAGTAATAGATTTATTTAGAAACCTAACAGATAATCTGTGCTCACTTCCATTATTATTTCATTCAGGAGCATGTCTTTATACACTATAAATCTACATTCAAAGTTGCCATGCTGTCTTCAGAAGCATAGGAAGTATATCTATTTTCAGACACTCAAATAATTCTTAGCACAGAACCTAAAACACATGATGTACTCAATAAATATTTGGTGAATGCATGCATTCATAAGTGACAAGTTGTATTCATTCACTCATCTGGTCTTTACATCCTAGCTTTTCTGAGCACAGTTCTAAGCACTGGTGTAGAGCAGTGAACAAAAGCTTACTCCTCGTGGAAATAAATACATAGTACAAGATAAGCAAGCTGAATATATTCAAGGTGAGAACAGATTTGGAAATGTAAATCAAAGGCTATTAGAGAGTGTCTGACATCTGCGCAAAGCTATGAGGAGGTGTGGAAGTGGGACCCCGGCAATGGAGTAGCAATGTTGCTTTGGAAGAAAACACGAGGTTGTAACGTCACAGAAGACAAGTGTTGTGCATGCACATGTGCATGCATGGACAGTTTTAAAACCTATTGGAAGCCAGTTATGGTAGCACAAGACTGCAATTCCAGCACTCAGAAGACTGAGGCAGGAGGATCAGGAGTTCAAAGGCAGCTAGGACTATATAATGAGTTTTAGGGCAGCCTCGTCTGCACAGAAGAATCCATATCAAAGAAGAATAAAAAAATATCATTGGAGAACATTCCAGCTGATTGGTGGTGGCGCACACTTTTAATCCCAGCACTCGGGAGGCAGAGGCAGGCAGATCTCTGTGAGTTGGAGACCAGCCCGGTCTACAGGGCAAGTTCCGGACAGCCTCCAAAGCCACAGAGAAAACCTGTCTCAGAAGACAAAAACAAAACAAAACAAAACAAAACAAAACAAAACAAAACAAAACAAAGAAAAATAATGAGACAATGAGATGGCTGAGGAGTAAGGACATTTGCTGCAAAGTCTGATGACAAGTTTGATCCCTGGGACTCTCGTGGTGAAAGGAGAGAACAGACTCCTGGAAGGTGTACCCCGACCTACACATGTGTCATGACACACGCAGACAAACACACACACAAACAAACAAATGGCCAGTCTAACATAGATGTAAGTGGGAGACACTGATAACTGGTATAGCCACAATGGAATCAGAAGTCCACAGCAGAAGAGGAACCTGAAAAATCCCCAGATGTTTGATTTTAAGTCAATGCCAAGGGAATCACATGGAAATTAGGAAATAATCTGAACAATAATGCAATTATCACTGTCAATTTTGAAGCTAGCATTGTTAAGATCCATGTTTGGGTCTCGCTTAAATTTTTAGTCCTAGGTTCTCTGGAAGCAGACTATTCATCACCACGAAACTGAAAAGTTCATACTGTCAGCAACATGTGAAATGCCCTTGACCTCCTTTAGCACTGCCCATTCACAGCAGCATCCCGATGAAACTGCTTCCCCACAGGAAAAGGAGGAGAAACGTCACACCAAGAGAACTGCAGGGATCCGGCATTCAGAGAAGCTCAACAGCAAAGCTTCAACTCTCACCTGTCAAGCCCGGTACAAACACAAGGAACAAGGCTGCAGGCAAACCTCCACACTGTGCCTTCCTGGGTATTTCTTTCCAAAGTTCCTTGGAAGTGCATGTGTAGGCCATGATAAATAATGTTTTACAGTCACTCACTTGGAATGATAATTTTACTCATTAACTAGCTAACCAAAAGAAAAACCAAATCAGACTTCCAACTTCTATTAATAACCCTAAAGTTCGCACACATATTTTAAAAAGGCAGTGCTTACTGCTGCATTAAAAAAATAAATAAATCAGCTTATATGACATTTCTGTAATTAATCAAAGAAAATTAATAATTGTATGATTTTCCAGCAAAAACAATGACCTTAGCATAAAGTTACAAGCCATAAACCTCCTGACATTTGTATTTTTAGCAGCCAAGATAAAGTTGTATTACCAGTTGATGTTGAATGGTTTCCTGACGTTGCTTAAGCAGTTCTTCAGTCCTCTGCAAGAGACCGAATTCAGCCTTAAATTCAGCTATTATCTGATGCTTCTTTTTGAAAACTGTACTCTTGCTTCGAAGTTTACTGACGTATCTCTTAAACTGCAAAAAAGTACCCAAGCATTATAAACACTCATTTTATTAGAAAGTCTTTCTTCTCTACTTAGCAGTCCATGCATCACAAATACGCAATAACCTAGTTTTCTTAGAAAACTAGCAAAGATGAATTGCTTAATATTTATGCATTTAATGTGTATGTACCACATACTTGCAGGAGACAGAGAAGTCAGCAGAGGGTGACTCCTTAGAATTGGAGTTACTGACAGTTGTTGTGAGCCACCATATGTGAGAACCTGGTTCTTTGTTTTTTCAGACAAGGTATCTCTATGCAGCTCTGGTTGTCCTAGAATTTGTTATGCAGACCAGGCTAGCCAGGAATGAGCCACCATGCCAAGTTATGAGCCTGGTTTCTTTTCTTTTTTTGGTTTTTCAAGACAGGGTTTCTCTGTGTAGCTTTGGTGCCTATCCTGGCACTCGCTCTGGAGACCAGAGCCTTAAACTCACAGCGATCCGCCTGCCTCTGCCTCCCGAGTGCTGGGATTAAAGGCATGCACCACCAATGCCCGGCCCTGGTTTCTCTGTAAGAGCAATGAGTGCTCTTAATCACTAAGCAACCTCTCCAGCATCAAGAATAACTGCTTAATTAAAATATATACATATCCATCTTCATTATTGAACTCAAATATTCTGAGTCCTTTTATAAAAGTTTTTCACTTAAAACTTTACAAATAAGGAAAGAAAAAAAAAATCAACCAACCAACAAGCAAACAAAACAGAAATCCAAGTCCATGACATCGCCAAGGTCTAAAGGAGGAGGAGGGAAAGGCCACGTGTCACTCTAGCAGGTTTCATCATGGAGTTTTATGAACAACTGTGTTCTGCTACAAGTGCACTTGATTTGCTGGGCTCAATACAGAAAACCAGGGTCAGCAACAGTGACATTGTCACCCGAGGGCTGTGGCTATTTCCTTGGGAAGCATCTCAGATATGGAATAGGGACTCATCCTAAAATTTAACAAGTTAAGAATACTGCAGGAGAAATTACTGAAGCCAGGTGGTGGCACATGCCTTTAATCCCAGCACTCAGGAGGCAGAGGCAGGCAGATCTCTGTGAGTTCAAGGCCAGCCTGTCTACTACTACACAGAGAAACCCTGTGTTGAAAAACCAAAAGAGAGAAAGGGAAAGGGGGAAGGGGAGGGGAGGGGGAGGAGGAGAGAGAGGGAGGAAAAGGGACCCTGTCTGCCATAAACCACTTCCATATAACAGCAAGCTCCTGTATTATCCAACATGAGACAGTTCCCTTAGCAACTAAAAAAAAAGCACAGTGCTTCTTTTTGTTTTGTTTTTGTTTTTGTTTTTTTGAGACAGAGTTTCTCTGTATAGCCCTGGCTGGCCTGGAATTTGCCTTGTAGACCAGGCTGGCCTTGAGCTCACAAAAATCTGCCTGCTTCTGCCTCCCGAGTGCTGGGATTAAAGGTGTATGGTGTACCAACATGTACTACTTAACATAGTTGATTTTTAAAACTTTGTGTGCATGGATGTGTTGCCTGCATGTATGTCTGTGTATCATGTGTGTGCTTGCTGCTGATGAAGGCCAGAAGAAGGCATTGGATCAGCTGGACCTAGAGTTATAGATAGTTGTGATCACCATGGGACTTGAACTTATGTCCTCTGTAAGAACATAAGTGAGGGGGCTGGAGAGATGGCTCAGAGGTTAAGAGCACCGACTGCTCTTCCAGAGGACCTGAGTTCAATTCCCAGCAACCACCTGGTGGCTCACAACCATCTGTAATGAGATCTGGTGCCCTCTTCTGGTATGCAAGCATTCATGCAGATGACTGTATACATAATAAATAAAATCTTGAAAAAAAAAAAAAGAACATAAGTGTGGTGGGCAGTGATGGCACACGCCTTTAATCCCAGCTCTTGAGAAGCAGAGGCAGGCAAATCACTATGAGTTAGAGATCAGCCTGGTCTATAAGAGTGAGTTCCAGGACAGTCTCCAAAGCTACATGGAGAAACCCTGTCTCAAAAAACAAAAACACCAAAAACAGCTAGTGTTCTTAACCACTGAGCCATCTCTCCAGCCCCAAATATTTTTATTTTATACTCATTAATGTTGAAAATGCTGCCTCACATAAATATAGGACAAAATGTCAGCAGTACATTTATGGCCATCTCAGAATTGTTGAAGATTTCTCTTAATCCTAGGGTAAAGTTAACAATATTTTTCAATGAAATTCAAGACTGCAAATCATACAGCCATTTTTAAAGATCAAACACTGTAATACAATACAATCCAAAGATAAACTAATTTGATACTTATACTCTGAGGAATGATGGTGGGAAAATATGAAGTCTTTGTTTTCTATAATCAGACCACTATGTTTCTATAACAGAAGAAAATTTTGTATGGACAGTAAAAACATTATAATTCTTAATAAAGCAATGGTATCTAATGCAAACCATGGTGTGATGGTGTGTGCAGTGTAGTGTGTATGTTTGTGTTCCAAACAAGGTTGCAGAGAGGTCCTACAATACAACATGGGTTAGCACTGCCAGGAATACTGCAGACTCATTGTTTGTAATACCTGATTTTGAATTAATTTTGGTTATTGCATTTTCAAAGACATTTTGCTGCTGTCAATCTCTGTTACATCATCCCATGAACTTGCAATCCACAATTTCAGAAAATGAGCTGTAGATGAAGGAAGTTCAGAATACTTCTCCTTTTATCTTCATGGATTTTTGAGATAGGGTCTCCTGTGTGGTCCAGGTTAGACTAAACCTGACTTGACACTTGGCCTTGGCATCCTGAGTGCTGGTATCAAAAGCACGTGACACAACACTGGGTTTAATTATATATTGGGGAGGGGGAGACTGACTGTAGCCAGGCTGGCCCTCAAATTCACAAGGCAGCCAAGGCTGGCCTTGAACTGACCCTCTTGCCTCCACTTCCCAGGCTAGGCTTATAAGCATGAACCACCATGCCTGGCTCTCCAAATATTTCTCTATAATTAAGAAAGTCTTGCTACTTAGGAATCTAGCCCCCACACAGCAAATTTTCAATGGATGGGTTACAAAAGCTGCTCGAAAAATCTGAGCCATAGCACAGTACCTAGAGTCTAATAACTTGCTAATTTTCCTTTTAAAGTATAAATGTGTAAGCCTGATATAACCACCGACTCAGAATCCCCAGAGTAACTAACTATACATTCTATTAAAAGTGTCCTGGGCAAAGAGCCCAAAATGAAATCAGCCCTGCTCATCTGTTCTCCTGTGTAACATCTAGGCCAACTTCCCTTCTCTATCTTGCTGTGCTCCATAACTATTTTTAAAAGCTAAAAGCTAGAAATGCTTTGGTGGAAGAACAATCCCACATATTACTCACCGCACTCTATCAGAACTGGTTATTATTTGGGACTCACTGCACATTCTACCTAGGGGAAGGGTATAGTCAGGGTCCCATGAGTCACAGTTCCACACAAAGAAGCAATAGGTGGCCATCGAGGCATCTAAGAACTCTCCTGCTCTTGGCTAATTAAGGAGAAAGAAACATATCACCAATGTTTTCAGTCCACTGTAAATTTGTTCTAATTGCCACTTGGACTTTAGGTTATTTCTGGGCTTTTACATAGCATCTAAAACAATATAAACACATTGATTCTTCAAACACTTCATTTTTTTGAAACAAGGATCTTCTATGTGACACAGGCAATTCCAGGTCTTCCTGCCTTCTGAGTGCTGGGATTACAGCTTTGTATCACCACGCTAGCTTTAAATATACACTTCATAATTTCTGTAGGATATTTTTCCAGAAATGGTCAAAAAGAACACACACTTCTGATATTTTGCCAAACTGCTCTTCAGAAGGCATTTATAACACTTTTACAATTGATCTAAAAAGAAGCACCTCTCAAGCTTGTACTTCTTTCTTAGGAGGCTTGGCCTTTCATCCTGTTTTGAGCTCCTGCAGGGATCTGACAGAACTGCCTGCTTGCCTTTGCTTCACTTTGTCACTGGCCTGTTGTGTTACTGGCTTGTGCATCAGTAACAATGATTCTCAAACGTTCTGCTCTCAAACATCCTTTACATAACCTTTTTTATTTGGTCCAGGATGGTCTTGAACTCATCACCTCTTGTCTTGGACTTGCAGGAGCTGAGATTACTGAAGTGCACCACCATGCCCAGCAATCATCTTACAATTATCAAAGATCTCAAGATTTCATGTAGATCCTGTCTATAAACATTTACCATACTAGAAATGGAAATCAGCAGTGCGGTAGACCACAAATTCTAAAACACAAGTAAAAGCAAGCGTATACTCTGTTAGCTCCCACAGCAATACTATGCTCACATAGGAAAAACCTTCCTTGATAAGTTCTAAGCATCAGAGTCAGAACTACCCTCCCTGTCATCTTTCAGAGGAGTGACAGTGGTGTCTGGAGAGCCAACAATAATGACTCAGCAGCAAAGTGGCATGGCCAGAGGGTCCAGAGACCAAAGGGAAACAAGTGGAGTGGGGAACTTTGTAGAATTGGACCAGTAGGTCATAACTGAGGTGCTGGGAGTATTTATGGAAGTGAGACCACTTCCATAAAATGGATAGAATTGAGGGGCTAAAATTTCTCTTTTTAATTTTATTTGTGCCAGGTGGTGGTAGCACAAGCCTTTAATACCAACACTTGGGAGGCAGCGGCAGGTTGATCTCTTTGGGCTTGAAGCCAGCCTGTTCTACAGAGAGAGTTCCAGGACAGTCAGGGCTACACAGAGAAACTCTGTCTCAAAAAACAAACAATTTTTTAAAAATTAAAGCGCATGCCTTTAGTCCCAGCACTCAGAAGGCAGAGGCAGGTAGATTGCTGTGAGTTCGAGACCAGCCTGGTCTACAAGAGCTAGTTCCAGGACAGCCTCCAAAGCCACAGAGAAACCCTGTCTCAAAAAAAAAAAAAAAAAAATTTACATGAGTGGTTCGTCGGCTCATACATGTATGTGTACTGCCTGTGAGCCAGAAGAGAGAACCGATCCCTGGAACTGGAAT